CCATCCATTGTATACAATTGTGCATGTGACCTGCTGTGATTGGTCACAGCAGGTCACATGGTGCCGGCAACGGGGCCGGTACTCAGATCTGTCATCGGCCGTGTCCGAGGTACACAGCCGGTGACAGATCGCGCGCGGCTCTGCAGGCACGCAAACTGCGCATGCCCAGGAGGACGCCATATGGCGTCCACCCAGAACGCTGAGGAATTTTGCTGGCCACCATCTGGCCGTAGGCTGGGCGGGTAAAGGTTAAACCGTATATAGGCACTTATTTTTAATGTTTTACATAGCTATGCCCACAAAAGGGGCCAGCACCACTTTAATGGAAGGCTGTAGAGTTGTCTAATAGACCTTTGTTTGTGACTGGATGAACACTACTACAGTTCTTTTGACAGTTAAAACCGCTCACAAATTTACATTTAAACTTTCAGGCAGTGGGTGGCCATGTTGGCACGCCTGCAGTCCCTGTCGGCAGTGCTACTGTATTTAGACTGCCAGCTTTACTGAGTTCATCATATAATCCTAAACCGCCTCCCCATCCAAGTGGGTGATATGTTTTTAAAATTATCCTTAAATTTACCTCCCTAACCAATGCCTCCCAGAGTTTTTTACTTATCCAAGTTTTGTGGACCCGGGGACAAGCACAGGAACTACTGAAATCTCTCCTGGCTAACACTTCTGTGTACATCACCCTCTGGTGTCACACAGCATAAATCTGGCAGGAGCATGGAGACATGGATGTAAGATTTTTTTTTTTTTTTTTTTTAGAGGGGGATATAGATTATAGGATGAGGATAAGGTTTCCAATATGTAAGGTTTACATTGGGGTGTAGGCTTGCTCTAACAGTTTGTGCAAACCAGAGCTGTCAAAAAGGTAGACTATAGTCCTTTTACAAGAAAAAGTTGATTCTGATGTTTGAAAGTAAATGTTCATTTCCTGGGGGAGCCTTGGAAATTATTTGTTATAAACGTTGTGGGAATCCGGGTTGAAGCGGAAAGTAGATTTTCATTTTGGATAGAGTAATGCAGGCCATAGATGGGGAGAAAAACGGCAGATTTTTGGCCGATTAACGAACTATCGGTCGGTCTAAAAAACTTACCTGACCACCAATTATTACGAAAATCGGCCGATTAATGAGTAACCTATAACGGGAAATGATGTCATTTTGTGGCCTTTGTGATCCTTTTTCGGAAAACGATTGTTCGTTTTTGACCATCAATGAGGATAAAGTCGGGGCGTTTTTCGAAAATTTTCCAACATCACCGATAATCTGAAAGTCCAAAATACACGAAAAACGGCCGACAAAATCGTCCACTAACGATAAGATAATCGGCCGGTTTTATTTTCGGACGAAAAATCGGCCGTTTTTCTCCCCATCTATGGCCTGCATAAGGCTCGGTTCCCACTGCATCCGCCTTGTGAGACTCCAAGTCGCATGACGTGAAATCCCAAGATCTGTCTTAATTAGCACTACTGAAGTTGCTTTGACTTTAAAAAAGGTTCTTGTACTACTTCAAGGCAACTTCTGTCTGGCTCATAGGCTTTAATGGAAGTCGCCTCCGTGTCAAATCCTCATCTGTGTTGATGTGATTTGGATCTAACATTACATGAAGATTACCCATGCATTCCCTGAAAGTTGCTATCGAGTTGCATCAAAGTAGTACTCAAGTCGCCAGGAAGTTGCCTGGCAAAGTCGCACTGTAAGTCGTGTGACTTTCAGGTTGCAGTAGTGTAAACCGAGACGAAGGGAGGGTTATAACCCCTGTCAGATTATTGCTATCTGTCTCATTGGGGAGATTTCCCTTTACTTCCTGGCCCATAGCCACTCTAGGGGGAAGAATAAATTCCTCCAATGTGAGGGAATCCGTGGTAGTCACCAGAACTTGTGCCTTCCCTGGATGATTTCTCCTGTACTAATGACCACTCAAATTTCTTTCTTTTGTGGCAGTCACCAGGAAAATAGAGAGGATGAATGTCCCTAATAGGGACACAGACAGCAATAAAAAACCTGACAGGTATTCTAATCCCTCTGAAGTTTCGCCTTCAGTTATACATTAACTTGGTGGTGGATTGTCTTCAGTTCAACTTTGGGGCCATTGTTCTCAGGGAATTGTCTGTTGCAAAATAAGTTGGCCGTAGCCTTTGAAGTATATTGGTGACCACACAGACTACTGGTTGTGTTTAATAAGTTGAATTACCCTCCTTTACATCTCCTACAGTCTTTTGTAAACAAAGAAGTTTCTGTGCCTTAAAATCATACCCACAGTGTTCTCTTCTTTGCTGGGCATACTGGGTAGGTATCTACAACAGAGCCAGAGTGTCTGTGCTTTGCCTTTAGAACAGCTGTCCTGGCTTTCATATGAGAAGCATCTACAAGACCAGTGAAAAGAATGTTAGTATTCACAGTTGATCACTTGAAAAATGACTTTTTTTGTTTTGATCTGGCTTGTACGGTGCAGGTTTTCTGGTGGACAGATGCCATGTGTGCTAAATATAATTAAAGCTGGGGGCTAACTGTTTGTCAGCGACTTCTATGAATGTCTCTTATTTCCTAGACAGGTGAAGCTGCTTCTTAAAATGTCTATAAATTTGTTGCTATGTTAGATCAAAATTTCAAATTTCCAGCTTTGGTGCATTGCTATCACGTTACATGTAAAGACTAGAACAAACTAGTACCTACAGCAACCAATCAGATTCTCTCTGAAATCTATCAGTGTGTGCTATATTCTGCATGATAGTAAAACCTGTTTAGTTGTCTGTAAAGTATAATTCCAGAATCCCAGATAAATGTCCTATCACCCAGCATGTAATAGCTGCACACTGATGAGGTCACCCCAGTGCCTTTCTCTCCTGTAAGCATGCTGAATGGTAGACTGAGAAGCATAGTGCACAGCAATAGAGTCCTGGCCCCTCTCACTATTGATGTGCCATGCATGAACATGATAATCAGGACACATTCAAGTACTTTATTTATTTCAGGTACTTAGATAGCGCTGTCAATTTTCGCAGCGCTTCACATATATATTGTACATTCATATCAGTCCCTAACCCTCAAGGGGTGTACAATCTAAAGTCCCTAACCTACATTCACACACATACTAGGGCCAATTTAGAAAGGAGCCAATTAACCTACCAGCATGTCTTTGGAATGTTAGAGGAAAACGGAGTACCCGGAGGAAACCCACACAGGCACAAAGAGAACATGCAAACTCCAGGCAGGTGGTGCCATGGTTGAGATTTGAACCAGTGACCCTAGTACTGCCAGGCGGAAGTGCTAACAATTTAGCCACTGTGCTGCCCACAGTACTTAACTTATTTCTATGTAAAAATACATATTAAGGGCCTTACTGAACTACCTATTTTTATAAAAGCAGGAGTTACTTCTGCTAAACAACCAATCAGCATCAGGCCTGTCCTGAACACTTGAATCTAATCGGTGGCTGTGGGAAAATAAATCCATTTCTAAAGAACTCCTTCACTGTATTTTATAATGGCTGCATAATGGAATAAATGATGTTATTTAAATATTTAATTTTGCAGTCTTTGTTCAGCTACAGTACTATTTACAATGAAGTGCTGCACTCCTTTTATACTAGATGGCATGCTCTTACAATCAAAATAAACACGTCAAAAACATATGTGATAAATGATCAACTCATTTAATGTGACAAGTATCCAGTGAAAAACCATAAAGTAAAATCAAAGTGCACCCAATGTATCCTTTTATAGGTAAATTCAAATATATACGGTAATCACAAATAAATGTGTCTAAACAAATCCAGTGTCTCTTCATCCAAGTCTCAATATATGCTCCAGCAAACCGTGTGTAGTGGACTACAAAACACCTCCATCCCAAAAAACACAATAAGTGGGTCCACAGTAGCTTAGACTTATGCTATTCTTCCAGGCAGCCTTCCAAGTCAGCTTCTGATCTTTGCACCTTTTAATCCTCCAAATATACTTTGGTCATCGTGAATAAACAATAAAATGAAAAGCCATAGTGCAGTAATTTTTATTGTAATCGTAAAATTGAAACAATTCCAAGTGTGCACTCACATTAGAAATACAAATGCCAGCATTCCATTTTACCACATGGGTCCAAGATGGCCACTGCTCACCTACCTTCCTGTTTGCTTCCTGCGTGTGTTCCACAGACTAGAAGTGATGTAGGCAGAAATGATGTCACGATGAATGGCCCCCACCCAACATGTTTTGACAAATTGTCAGAATCTTTGTAGTTGTTTACCTGTTCTATTTAAGAACCTTTTAGTCCAGATCTTTTAGAGCAAGATCAGGGTATTTATTCAGCCCCCCATGTCAAAATGCTGCATTAAAAAAAAAAATGCAAGGGAATGCATGAGAATAGCACCAAGATGAAGCTCCAGCATGGTGTAGGAGTGTCTTCTCGCACAATTTAGGGTACCAGGCATTCCCCAGAATCTGACCAGAAGGATGGTGACATTGCCCCGTGCAGTGCAGTAGCTGGAAGTAAAGTGCATATATTTGTTTTCCCCCACTTTTTTTTTTTTATACTGCAGAGATTTGGCATGGGACGGGCTGAATTAATAAATAGTCCTTTGCTTTGTAGTGCAGGAGCTGTATATTCTCGTAGTCCTGAACACCAGAATTAGCCTGGACTCACTCATGGTGCAATAGCCTAGAGAGTGGTATAAACATTTTATTTCTTGAATTGATACCCCTTTCTAACTAATAGGATTGCATTCACAGAATTGCCACTTTTGTGTCCATAGGCAAGTAAATGTGCTGCGTGCGAACTCCCCACAAAATGTGATGTATGCATAGCCTTCTAAAGTAATGTGTCTAGACCAGAGTACAGCATCATTTTATTGCATTAGCTGGTGTCTTTTGTTTTCCTACTTTACTACTGTTTCCAGGGGTAATAGCATATTATTGTGAGGCATTGAACTTGTATGTTTTAGATCATAATAGCCCATTTAGGTTTTTAACTGACTTGTCATTTTTATTGCTTCCCCTTTAGGACATCTGGTATTTGTAAATGGAGTTTCAGCTTATGGTAAGTTTAAATCTCACAGTTCTGAAAAAAAGTTCACAAAGGTGATGTGAATGGTAATTTCTACAGGTTTCAGAATATCACAGTGCTTTCAGGGTGTGTGAGCAGCACTGCACAACTAGCCTCGCCACTGGCTTAAAAGGAGTCTCTGTATAGTAAAAATGTGATGCTTTCCCTTTCCCAATATGCTCCTCTACAGTCTCCATAAGTTGGGCTGAGCATATACTGTATGGTCAACAGCCTAAGTCACTTTGCTCATATTCCACATAACAACACAGTTCATTTATCACAGACACGTCATATGCACCAAATTACTGAAGTGGATCAGTTCAAATCAATTTAACTTGCAATAACTTAGTTTGATCATTTTCCAAGCAAGTCTCTGCCTCTGTGTGTCCGCTGTATCATGTAAATTTCACTGACCCAGAACAAGTTTGCAATTAAAGTGCTATTAAACCCAAAAGCAAACATTTATTATATTGCAGCTTACCAATTCTGAGATGTGTTGGCTGCATTAAATTTCTTTTTTAGACTTTCCCTAGTTTTCATTTGGTGATCCAGCCAGCAAGTCTGTTGTTTGTCAAAATAACAAGCTATATCGGTTTACAGGGATGAGACAAATCATTCATTACTGACAGGGATGCTAACAATGATCAGCTTTTATTCATGTAATACCTTTTATCCTAAAAAAAAAAACTGTATGCTGTAACTGTTTATAAAGTGTTGGCTGGAGTTCAGCTTCAATTTGTTAGTATTTTTTAAATCTGCTAGTATATTTAACACTCCCCTCCTTCCAGACTGACAATGCTGCTGTATGCTGTATCCCCTGTGCTTCTTTATCCAGAGTGGCAGTACTCTAATACAGAAGGTGTGTTGCTGGTCAGATCACCAGGTAAACATGGGAAAAATCCGGGGGAAAAAAGGAAACCAATACAGCCACCACATCTATAGATTGCTAAGCCGCAATATATTATATTTTTGATTCTGGGTTTAATACCACTTTAAGGACTTCTCACTTTTCTGATCTTCATACTTGTTCTGGTTAATGATTAAAGAAAATAGTGAGGTTCAGTAAAGCAGCCAAGCAGCTATTATTTTCAGAGGAAGATCCGCAATGGCAGCCTCCACATTTCTCTCAATCACAGGTATAGTATACATACTGTATTTTCTTATTTGAAAAGCTCCTAAATCATTTACCTATTTATCACTGAATCTAGTTCTAAAAATAGCTAATACATAACTTAAACTAAGTTTGTTTTTTTTGCCCCACCTTTCAGTGATCAAATTTGCCAGGAATGTTAAGAAAGGTGGTTTTGCTGTCGGCCAAGAATTGTAAAGTAATAGCACTTGAGTCATGCTCACAGTTTTAATGATGTGAATGTGTACCAGCACCTAGGTGTATTGTTTGTTGTACAAGGCTCTTCCCTCCCACCAGGTACCTGAGATTGCAGCCAGCTGTTGCGCCAGCTAACCATAGATATGATTGAAGACCAGAACAAGTATTTGTCACTTCCAGAATTGGCTTTGTGCTTACTGACCATTTACCGGCCAAAGAAGCTGCCGATCAGACTGATTTGTGTCTGATCAGCTGCTTTGGAGGCCAGAAGAGAGATCTGGGGTCTAATAGACCCCACATTTTTCCAATAATCAAAATTAAAATTAAAGTGTATTTTATACAAAAAAAAATTGCATTTGAGAAACCACTGCATAATTATTGTGTGACATAAAAATTGCAACAACCACCATTTCATTCTCGAAAGCTTCAAAAAATACATAATGTGTGGGGGTTGTAAATAATTTTCTAGCAAAAAAAATGCTTATTTTTTAATATGTAGGAGGGAAGTGTCAGAAGTGGCCCGGTAGGAAATTGGTTAAACAACAATAAGTAAATACGTGTCAACAGTCAAGTGCAGCCATGTGAGTGTCAACAAAATCTGGGTAGCCAGTAGGCAGAGAGATTCTGGTACTGGATTGTGGGATGATCCAGCAGATCCTGGCTCTGGCAGGTACTAAGTCACAGCCTACAGTATAAGTACAAGGTGCCAAAGATCAATTGTGCCTGCCTCAATAAAGCTCCCACTTGGCCAAAGATTTACCGTTAGAAGTCCCTGGCAGCTCCTAAAAATAAAAGCGCAGCTCTGGCTGCTATATTCACCTGATCTTTGGTGTTGTCCCCCACAGACTCACCAGATCACCAATTTAATAGTGCTCGCCCTCTGTGTTGTATGGTGCCCAGCATCATTTAACTTTTTATCAGTCAGCCCAGGGTGTCAAGATTGCTCCTCCTAAAAGGAGGAATTCTGCAGAAAGTGGCACCATGTCATTACGTGGCCCATCTTTCTAAAGCATTTAAGGTCTGTGTGTGTGTGTGTGGTTTTTTTTTTTTCCTCGGTCACAGGGGTGCTAAGGGAAGGGAGATGCAGTTCAGCAGAGTTGGGTTCTACAGTATTTAGGCCATATTTTTAGATTTATTTGAAGACTGGACTGTTACACTCCCTTCCTGCCCAGGCCATTTTAAAGCTTTCAACGCTGTCACACTTTGAATGACAATTGCTCAGTCATGCAACACTGTACCCAAATTAATTTTGTGTAATGGTGGTATTTAATCATCACCAGGTTTTACTTAATATATAATGGAAAAAAGACCAAACATTAAAAAAAAAAAAAAAAAAAACCCTCCTTCTTGGTTTCTGTTGTAAATCAACAATCTTTCTTCATAGATTTGGCCCAAAATGTATTCTGCTCCATTTCTTCATGGTCAATGGTACCTGCAGGTGGGTCAGTTCATGCAGCAGGCAGATACACGAACAGCAAACAGGCAAAGGATCGGTCCAGGCAGATACATGGTCAATGTCAGTACAAGCAGTAGGCAGAGGCAATGCTACAGTGGTGTGGCAATGGTTAGGAACACTTGCTGGCTGCACGGTTTGGTGACACTGGCACTGGTGTCGTGGCGATCAGGAACAGTGTTGCTGGCATACACTGATCTGGTGACACTGGGACTGGTGTGGAGATGATCAGGAAAACTTACTGGCTGTACTTTTCTGGTGTGGTGGCTGTCCGGAGCACTGTTTCTAGCTAGACTGGTTTGGTGATGCTGTGACTGGCTGCACTATTAGGCCTCATTCACACATGAGATTTGGGGGGTGGTAAAACCTTGCAGTTGAGCTGAGGTTTTACTGCCCCAGCCGCTTAACTGCAAGGGCCAGAGGTGTACACATGCAGCAGCTGTGATGCTTTGGTTCGCAGCTGTGGCAGGAACAATACTCCTTGTCACTTTCGGCAGGTGTAGCGCCTGGAATTGCGACCCATTTAAGCGAGTGGGGTCCAAAGGGTTAAAGCACTCTGAATCTGTCAAATGCTATCGAAGGAGAGATCTGAATGTGGATCGCTCTTCAGAGAGCACTGCAAATGTGATCAAGGCCTTTATAGTGATACTGCGACTGGTGTGGGGATAATCGGAAACTGTGGGGGTTATTTACTAAAACTGGAGTTTGCAAAATCTGGCTTTAGCTTCTAAGTTTTATTGCCAAAGCTTAATTGAACAAACCGAAGTGAGAAGCTGATTGGCTTCCATGTACAGATGCGCCAGATTCTGAGTGCACATGTTTTGGCAAATCTCCCCCTATTACTGACTGCAATGGTCTGGAGTCATTGTACTGCTGTGGTGGTGACCAGAGACAAAGTGCAGTCAGCCAGACATACAGTAATATCAGCCATTGTACATGATCACCACCACAGCATTTCAATGTCACCAAAGTGACACTGCACTTGCTCTTGTGACACTATGGGGAAAAAAATATATGTACATTTTTGTAATCAGTGCAGTATCCATTGTGTCTGATCAATAGAACAGTACAATGCCACCACTCACTGCTCAGGGGTGATCTGAGTGCTAAATACAGTTTCCGATTGCTGTAGTAACACCATGTTTTTGACTCTGAGAGGAAATGGTTAAAAAGGCTGCATTACGCAGAAGGTAGTTAAATACTTAAAGTGGCTGGTAAAGGCTCAAGGTTTTTTTACCTTTGTGCATTCTGTGCATGGGGATAAAAAACCTTCTGTGTGCAGCAGTGCCCCCAGCCCCTTCAATACTTACCTGAGCCCCATCGCGATCCAGCGATGTGCACGACCGTCTCGGGTCTCTGCCGTTGGCTCCCGCTGCTGTCAATCACAGCCAATCAGCCAATGAGGAGAGAGAGGAGACAGGGCCAAGCCATGGCTCCATGTGTGAATGGACACACGGAGCAGCGGGTGCCCCCATAGGAAACTGATTGCTGTGGGGGCACCCGACAAGAGGGAGGGCCAGGAGAACCTGCGGGGGCCAGAGAAGAGGAGGATCCAGGCTGCTCTCTGCAAAACCACTGCACACAGCAAGTAAGCATAACATGTTTGTTATTTTACAAAAAAAAAGAAAAATTAACCTCTTAGTATCGCTTTAAGGCAGGTTGTGTTTTTTTTAAGACTTTGGGCTTATTGGGTACACTGTGCAAAGTGCTGTAACCTATTATAACTTATGAGGTATAGACACTGATATTAGACCAATATAAAAAAGCCCCTAGCGCTTTTCACTGTTTTATTAAATAAACCCATGTGCACAGTTGATAACTTGGTCCTGAGTGTGTAATATATGTAATTTGATTTCCTTCTTGTACAGTGCTACATACAAATCTTGTGGTTTTATAAAGAAATAATAAAATCATTTTTATCTCTTTTCTTTTGCTTTATCAGAATCGTCCTCCTGCTACCCAGGTTTTTTTCAGTGCAACTCTGGATGTCTTCCACTATATACTCTCTGCGATGGTTCCTTTGACTGCGAGGATCAATCTGATGAGTTAGCATGTTCTTCAAACTGCAACTTTACTTTGAAGGACTTCTATGGTGTCTTCTCTCCTCTTGGATATCCATTTGTTCCATCCTCTTCCATGCCTTTTTATTGTCGTTGGCTGATTGATTCTGAAGATAGCCGAGGTCTTGTCCTGCAGTTCTCTGCCCTAGGTCTGTCTGAGCAGGATGCTCTCGTAGTTTATGAAAATAGTGTTGGGGAATTTCCACACCTTCTCCGTGCCTTAGATAAACACAGTAATGGGAAATCTGTCACCGTGGAGTCTTCTGGTGGAAGAGTCTTGGTTGTTTATCAGTACTACCCAAGCCACACTCGTATCCCCAATGTTGGGTCTCCTATAACTTATGACAGCAGATTTCGCCTTCCCAGCTCATTGGTTCATGAGCCAAGTTCACGCTTCTTCGACCAGATGGGTTCACCTCCCTCTCGTTCTCGCTTTTCTGGCTATAGTGCTGGCAGCTCTTTTTCTTCTTTTCTTCCTAGATTTAATGCCACTTATCGTGTACATGGCTACTGCCTTCCTTGGGATCAGCCTTGCGGTTCCAGTCCAGGTCTTTTGTGGGAGGATGGAATGGAAGTAGGAGGAGGATGTTTTTCAGATTCACAGCGTTGTGATGGAGTTTGGGACTGTGCCAATGGCAGAGATGAAGCTAATTGTTCTGGCTGTGCTGAAGGTCACTATCCCTGTGCCATAAGCCGAGCTTGCTATCCCCTTGCCGAAAGGTGTAATTACCAGACATCTTGCCAAGATGGAACAGATGAAAGAGGCTGTCGTGGATGTCAGCCTGGAGGCTTCCATTGTGACATAGACCGCTGTGTTTATGAAGCTTGGGTGTGTGATGGACAAGCTGACTGTCGGGATGGAAGTGATGAGAAAAACTGTGGGTACACACTTCCAAGGAAAGTGATTGCTGCAGCTGTGATTGGGAGCTTGATATGTGCTACATTACTGGTGGTAGCCCTTGGATGTACATGCCGACTGTATACTTCACGAGCTCGGGAATATAGGTAACTGTATTTTTCATAATTATTTTAGACATGCACGTGAAAGGGTTCAGCATGATGTAAATAGTTTAATCAATGCATGTAATGTTTTAAAAACTTTGTAATTACTGTATATGTGTTGATGGGAATGACAATATGTGCTAATTACATTCTCCTATCTCACAGGAAGTCTGCCACACAGGGCATATCTAATTGAGAACCATAGATTCTCTGCAGTGTCTGATGATGTGAAACACCCACAACATTTCTAGTAGCCAGAGACCTTGTCATCTAGGCTGTCTACGCCTTAAGTTACATAAGGCAGCATTCATAGCAAAAAAGGGTTACTTTTTCACATAATAATGTTTTGTTAATATGTGTCCACTTTATGTGATGTTTGAATTTTATTGATGGGTTCACTTTAAGAAAGAGCATTGTAAAGCTAGGAACCATCATCAGATCTAACTTTTTTTTTTTTTTTCTACAGCATCTTTGCTCCTCTGTCTCGGATTGATGCAGAATTGATCCAGCAGCAAGCTCCTCCATCCTATGGGCAATTGATTGCTCAGGGAGCTATCCCTCCTGTAGATGACTTCCCAACTGAGAGCCCAAGTGATGTGAGTGCCCCTAATGCAGCTGCCGTCTGGCTAGATATGCTCTGTGTTCATTTATATTATACATTGAATTTTGTTTTTCACTTTTGTTAAGCTGGCCATATAGATTCATTTTTTTGTCCAGCCTGTAGGCTGACTGAAAAAAAACAAAGCCATCCACAGATGGTGTGATTTCCCTCATCAACACAGTCAGTGTTGATAGGGAAATCCCTCCCGCAGAGCTATTGTGTTCATCTGGCGGGGAGAGCCATCCTCGATGGTAGAACACCGTGATTACTGCTAGTGGCTAGAGTAGCCTGTAGCAGTACTCGAATGTAAAATCTGGCAGGCTGGTTGTACCCAAGTTGATCAATTGATCAGCTTGGGTTCATTCAGCCTGCCCATGCGAATCTTGGCGGTTCCTACTGAACCAGCCAAGATTATAACTGTCTATGGTTGGCTTTAGAGTTCTCCATCCGTGTTGCAGAGCACAGATCAACAAATCTGCAGTACAGGCAGTTGTTCTCAGGCAGAAGGCAGGTGTCAGAATACCCAAACAATGATTGCATCTGCTGTTCAGCCAACAATTTTCCTCCTGGCTCCTTCAATTTTTTACAGTCAAAAGATGTTGGGTGGGAAGATTCAGACAGGTCCACCCATGGAGCAGTTTTCAGCCAGTTCATCAGGAGTTGGCTAAAATTCATTCAATGCATGACCAGCTTCAGTCATTTTTTATGTGGCTTTTGTTTGTTGATGTACTGGACACTGTTTTGAAGATTATCCAAATGCATGATGCGGTCTGTGCTGCAATTTTTAAGACAGGGTGAAGTACAACTAATGAGAACTCTGTTCTAGCATGCAGGAGGCCTCTTGTCACTTGAGAAAGGAAACAACAGTGTAAATCTTGCTTTTAGTGCAGTAAGAAAGCAGTAGGGTAGAGAAACTATCATTAAAATTAGAAAAATGCAGCATTTCATATTTAGGTAGTGTTAGAGCTGATTTACATATGTATATGTTTGTCAGCAAGGGGCATGAAGAAATGTACCCATCACTGAACAAATCTTGTTATTATTGCTATACTTTCAGTAGTCGCAGAGGTGCATGCTTGGTACTTTGACCCCTTCCTGTGCTGAATACCAGGGAGATGATCAGGCCTGATAGCAGGGAGATTTCCCAGCAAGTGACCTACAATGCCTGAGACACTTTCTGTTGTAATCTAGAAATTTAGAAACAACTTAAAAAAAAAAAAAAAAATAGCTTATTTTATTTCTTTTTTTAAAAATGTGCTGATTGATTTCTCGTATAGAACTTGGGATGTGGAAGCTATTTTGCTCCCTACCCACATTCCCCTGGCAAAACTCTCTGTTTATCTAACTAGCTGTTGCAACACCATACATATTGTCCTTGTAGCCTTAGCAGCTTTTTTGTGTGTACACAATGAGACATAAAAGGAAGTGAGAGGAAAGCAACAGAACAAGTGTCCAAGCTTTCCCCTCTATTCTTGTTCTGGAGACAGCTGGAGAGTTGTGAATGTGCCATCACAGTGGTTATCAGGACAAATAAAGAGAGTGAACCTACCCAGCAGGGACACAGACAACACTAAATACCTAGCAAAAATTGACTAGAGGTACACTTTTATCCCCTTGTTTACCAAAGTACGTCTTGGTCTTCAAGGGGTTAAAACAAACTGCTTTTGAACCAGGAAGCGCACCTGTCCTGCAATTCTGGAGGCGAGAACCTAACATTTGCAAGGTCAAGGGCATAGGAATGTAAACATTTGGGAGTATTTTGGCCAGATTCCATGGGTGACAGAAAAGAATTACACATATGGCATTTGCATTAAACAATATTTTTACAAACCGCGCAGTGCAGTTTGAACTACTGGGACTGCATGGGCTAGTTTATGTAAAAGGTGTACTTGATGTGATGCTCAACCAGTACTGTAAGTGTTACTAAAGTCTGATATTTTCATTAGAAAAAAAAAACAAAAATTAAACATGTCCTACTCATCTGCACAGTGGTATTGCACACAGCAGCCCTGATCTTTCTCTTCTTGGGTCCTCTGCCAGCAATCCTGGCTTCTCCTCTTTTTTTGTGTACCCTTAGCAAGTCTTTTGCTATGGGGACACATGCTGCGTGCTTGCTCCCAACCTGTGTGTCTATGGAACCCATCCCCCACTTCCTCCTCACTGCATTTGACTGACGGCAGAAGGAGCCAATGGCTCCCGCTGCTGTTAAAGTTCCTGTGTGAAGTGGAAGAGAGGGAAGAAGAGATGGAGCCATGCACAGCACCGATCTCTACTCCTCTCTCTTCCCCTTCACACAGGAAAGGGGGAGGATAGAGAAACAGAGAAAAATTATTTCTTATCCTAATGAAAGGAATGTATTAAGGTAAAAATGTTTTTAGGTTTAATATCACTTTCACTGTAAGGGAATCGGCATGTATTTTGTGAGTCAGGATACAGCAGGCTCTACCAGGAGGGTATTTTGTTGGATGAAACCTTGCCTTTAAAAAGTGCAGGAAACCTGTGCAAATGAAAAATCCTTGGATTGCCATTGCTTTTCTCTTTTGAAAATACTAATTGCCGGGCATCCATGCTGACACATCACTCACCTGGAACATGCATATACCGTAAATCAGGGGCTGTTACTTCACTTGCTTCATGCCTCTGAAGCCCAAGACAGCCAGGTAGCTTGCATTTTCTGAGCAATATCAGCAGTGGCTGTGCCCTTGTTTCTGTCTTGCTGGTGTAATTTAAAGGACTAAGAGCCTGCACATTACCATTGAACTGCAGCACTAGCGATGACTTTCTTGTCAAAGGTCTTTGCTGGAAGGGTCAAAGCTCTTATTGCAGACCTGATTGGCACATTTAATACATGCTACACTTGATGAACCATGCCAGGTAATGAAAATTCAGGTAGAAAGACTTAGAATTTGCATACAAGAGGGCCAATGAGGTGAAAGACATTATTTACCATAGTACAGAAGTCTCCAAGATGTGGCTTGGAGCCAGAGGTGGCCCTTTGCGTGCCTTTATTTGTCCCTTGAGGAATTATTCCTGCCACTGACACAAACAATAGGACATAATTCCTGCCCCTGACACGAACAATGGGGCACTATTCCTTCCACTGACACCAACTATTTCTCCAATACCAAAGATCAGGCATTGTTTGCTCCCATTGGGACACTATGGCCCTCCTGAAGTCTGAAGAACAGTAAACTGTCCCTTTCTTTAGAAAGTTTGGAGACCCCTGCCATAGTACATCAACTGGGCAGTGTCCATTAATAATACCAATGGTGTGTTTCGTCATGTATCTGTGACTGGTAACCAGCTCCCTATGAGTGGGAATTGTCTAGTCTCAGGAATACTGCTAGTGAAGTTCCTCCCCTCCATTGTTGCCTTTTAGTGACGTGTCCCTGTGTAAAGGTGGCAAAGTCATTGTGGAATCATTTCATTTTGATGCCTGGCCCCTCTCTTAGATATCCTCATTTCTGTATGGAACAACCGCTGAATCAGATCCATGTCGCTCCTAGACGTACTGTGGAATTTAAGTGCATGTAAAATGCACAGAAGAATATTAGCTAACTAGAACCAATCACAGCCGTGGGCATTGATCAGATATATTTATAGAATGTTCTGTTTTATTCAGCCTGAAATCATTATATTGACACAGCAGATTGTAAATCATCTGATGAGATTCTTTATTAATAAAAACACAAAAATCATTCAAATTTTATTTCATAAATCTGTTTAGAATCTAGAGGCTTATTAGGAGCTTAATTTGGGTATAAAAGGTAAGCGGCCCAGATTGTGCAGCTTTAGAAGTAGTGGGAAAGAGCGTTGAGTGGGTAGTATGTGTGACGGGACAGGAAAAAGGGGGATGGGAGTCAGAGAAATCACTCACTTTATGGAGGCAGCAGAAATGCATAGACACCTACAGGAAGGTTTTAGAATAGAAATGCACACAAAGAGGAGGAACAAAAGAAAGAAGCATGCACACAGTCATTCTCAGAGAGAGTCACACACTGACACTACCAATCATTTTAATGACTGGCAATTATACTTGTGAAAAATAAAGCCAGTTTCCCAGAACTCATTGTGCCTGTCACTGAGAAGAAGCCTTATACTCCCTCTAGTGGCAGCTGAGAATGGACGCTTACTGGTCTTTAACTCACAATCAGCTTGTGGGGGAAAGGGCCAGGACTGCAGACTTGTGTTCAGCTACATCTCTACACATATTATGTATATACTGTATACTTGCTTGTGAAAGTAAGGACAAACCTCCTTCATCCTATAGGATCACTTAATATTTTAGCTAGATAGCTTCATGTTGGGGAGACAGGAGCTGATACTAAGGCAATATCTGCCAGTAAGAAGTCCTATAAAGAATTGGGCAGGGCTGAGAAAATGAGACCCTTGCCATCAAATTATTTTCATTGGCGTAATTATGAGTATTCATAACTTGACTATAGGCATGAGAAGCCTCATCCGTTACTTAATCCAAGGAAAATTAATGAAGAGACTTCCACACTGAGAGCAATAGGGAATACCGAATTTATTTGTATACCTCATAGAAACGCACATTTCTACAATCCCTGCTCGGGTAGAACCTTGAAAAAATGAGCCAAGGAATGTTCATGGTAAATCGAAAGGAGGATTAAAGTGTTACTAAACCCACAACAGTAGAATCAATCTGTATATGCAGTAAAGCATGCTTGTATTACTCACTGTGGAACCTAAGAGGCAGGGGCGGACTGACAACTCATGGGGCCCCCGGGCAATAGGGGATCATGGGGCCCCTGTGTCCTTGCCAAAACTCAAAAAAGCCTATGAAAAAGGCACCAGGGGCATCTCATGGGGCCCCCTACTGACCCCGGGCTGTGCCTGAGTTTCCAAATGGTCAGTCCGCCCCTGCTAAGAGGTTAATCCTCTGCATTGTGTAAAAAGGCTGTATGATCCTGACTTCTCTGATCCTCTGCTTTATCCAGTGCCCCCCTCCTATCTCCTGATAAGACTCATCGTGTTTGGTCTCTCTGCACATGCTCAGTTCGGTGTGTATTGCTAGAGAGGGTTTTTTTTTCTTGGGAGAGGGCATGTGATCAGAACGGGGCCAATCAGCTGTTCAGACAGAGGTCAGGGGTTCTGCATCCTCCTCAAGCAAAATGAAAATGCCTCCTACTAGCTTTACCCAGCGCTCTACTGGACACTGATAGAAGTCACAAGACTGCTCTAACTGCTGATGAGAAAAGAGATTTAGCAGTTTATATTTCCTAAAATATTTGCATTTCCATGTTCTTTGTACTGTGGAAGACCAGATATAGTGAATGCAGGGTCCAGGGTTTAGTACCAATTTAAGGAATATAAACAAGAAAAGGTGACCAGATTCCAAAACAAGTGGGTTATAGTCTGTGTGAAAAAAGTCATTTATCCCCTTTGTCATAAAGGCTCCGCACTAAAGTCGTCTATTTTTCAGGGTTGCTGTAATTTCACAGTGGCACTATATTTGTATATGATCACTGTTTTCTGTTTTCCTACTGTAGGGCTCATTCATGGGAAATCTCCGAAGTCTACTGCAACTTTTACATCAGACTCCGCCACATCCTGCTGGAGGCCTAAACGAGCTGCCAACACGGCGACGCCCACCACGTCCTGTCAGACGCTTCCTCCGTCGACTCAGGCGTTGGGGACTCCTTCCTCCTCGTACCCAAGGGACACAGACTGAGACCCATCAAAATCAGAGTACAGGCTCGTCACAACTAGTGTCAGAGGGCAGTGATCCTCCTTCAGCCCCACTTCTTCCAGTCAAGACCCCTTTAGACACTCCTGATTTTTCTGTTTCCCAGACTGAGCCCGCTGTTTCTCCTTCACCAATTTATCCCACTGAGGATAGGAGTGGACTAATGATGGGAATGGTGCAGGTGGTCAGGGAAAGAATTTTACTCCCACTAAGTGGAGTGGAACACTTGGGTGCAGAAAGAGCTGAGCGGCGTGATGATTGTGATGTGGAGATAGACAGGCCTGAAGAAGAGGATGAAATGCTGTTGTTGCCACTGGCAGAAAGCTTAGACAGCGAGTCAGGCGATGTAAGCTTGATTTCATGTTAACACCGCTTTTTGTTTTATCCTCTCTGTACACTTTTGCACAAAGTGGGGGGCTTTTTAATTTAGCCCACGCTAATCACACACTCCTAACTACAGTGCTCAGTGGATCTCACCCAACCTCTTATTCCCACCTCTCCTTGCGACATGTGATTCAAGACAGCCACACAGATGGAGGGGAATAAAAACTGAACAGAAAACAGTCCAGAGGGATTTCTGATTTATCTGGATATTGCTCCCAGGTGGTGGATGCTCTTTTGTATCGAAGACTGAGCAGCTGACCAATATATTGTTTCTATCCATGTCTCATAGACTTCGGTGATGGATTCTCGAATGCTGGAAAAAAATGTAAGCATAGGTGTTCATTGGTAAGGTGCTTCCATCTAATTACTCCTAGATGAGACACAGAACTTTGCCCCACCTGCAGCTGTTTGCTGGGTTTAAAGTGTACATAAGTGTAAGTGGACACCTCTAGAGTGTGCAAATAGGGTTCCGTTTAGTCGGTGGGGGGCAGGGTCTCATACTATCTAATTTGAAACGCTCAAATACAGGTAGAGAGCAGACAGTGTGGTTCACTGCAAATGGTGTGATGGAATAATTGAAGCATGAACTGAAGTCAACAAAAGGTGGACAGTGCTGCCATCCAGTATCTTCAAAAACAAAAGATTGTCACAAGCACATCAAAAGTTCAGTTAAGAGCAATTTATTGGTGACAACAGTAAAAATACAGCGACATTTCAGAGCATATAGCAGCCCCTTCATCAAGCAAACAGTGACACCAGTACTACATTCATGAATCTTATAAATATTGCACCAAGAGTCCTAATCGCCTCCTCCCTCATTCATATGTACTTCTATAATAAAAGTTACGTATATTTAGATTTTTATTTTTATCTCCGTAGCTTAATTTTTATATAGGCTTTTAGATGGGGCAGCACAGTGGCTAAATGGTTAGCACTTCCGCCTGGCAGTACTAGGGTCGCTGGTTCAAATCCCAACCCAGGCACCACCTGCCTGGAGTTTGCATGTTCTCCCTGTGACTGCGTGGGTTTCCTCTGGATATTCCGGTTTCCTCCCACACTCCAAAGACATGCTGGTAGTCGTTGGTTAATTGGATCCTGTCTAAATTGTTCCTAGTATGTGTATGTATGGATGTGAGTTAGGGACTTTAGATTGTACGCCCCTTGAGGGTTACGGACTGATGTGAATGTACAATATATATGTAAAGCGCTGCATAAATTGACGGCGCTATATAAGTACCTGTAATAATAATAATAGATATAAGGCATGACACACTGGGACAGGATACTGGAGCACAGACATACCTTGGCATATTGGTGATCGTATGTTGCTTGCGTTAACTGTTTTGTTCACGTTCTCATCAGTCCTCTTGTGACTCAAAAAAAACTCTTAACTGAGCTTGTGATGTGCTGGTGACTCTTTGTTCTTGAAGATGCAGGTAGGGTTCATGTCCCTCACATCAGCACTGTACACTTTTAAAATGGGTTTTAGATCACAGAGCTAACTAACAAACAGAGCAGAGCTGTGCAATATCCAGCAGCAGTGTGAAGTTGAGTGTGACTGAATGCCTGAGAGGGCATAAAGCCTTTGGTGTAAAAATAGAAAGGTAGCGTGGGGAATTTCTAACTCCTATAGAAAAGACAATGCAGAACAGCTGCATGTAGTTGCGCAATTCTACCAGCTTCTCTGCCTTTTGATTATGATCAAGTGTAGTTTGCAGCTTTGGTGGGAAACCCTCTGCTGATTAGAAGTTAAGTTGCACTAATTGAAAATTTGCAGGTGTTGTGAATTAGTTTGAAGTAAAATGGTGACAAACTTCATGCATGTATGCAGTGCACTAAATTAACTGGCGTAATGGGTAAACGTTAAAGAGAACCTCTTTGGATAGCAATTTGGGAGCTGCCATTGCTTGTTCTTAAAGGTGTAGGCTTTGGGGTTCTCATCCTAAATCTTTCTTCACCACCTGATGAATCGCTGACTTGGAACACGTACGCGACCAGTGAAGTGTGAAAAAGCCAATCTGCACACTCTCAGGTGTAATTTGAGGGTATGTACATATTGGAGGAAAGGTTTAGGGATTACAGCTCTTAAGAGTAGCCATCCCCCCTTTTTCAAGGGACCAAAAGTAATTGGACAAATTAATTTAATCATAAGTAAAATGTTAATTTTTAATATTTTGTTGCGAATCCTTTACTGACAATGACTGCCTGAAGTCTGGAACCCATGGACATTACCAAAAACCAGGTTTCCTCCTTTCTGTTGCTTTGTTAGGCTCTAACTGCAGCTGTCTTCAGTTGTTTGTGGGTCTTTCTGCCTTTTTAGTTTTGCCTTCAGCAAGTGAAAGGCATGCTCAATTGGGTTGAGATCAGGTGATTGACTTGGCCATTGCAGAACATTCCACCGCTTCTTTTCCTTCAAAAGCTCCTGGGTTGCTTTTGCAGTGTGTTTTGGATCATTGTCCATCTGTACTGTGAAGCGCTGTCCAATCAACTTTGCTGCATTTGGCTGAATCTGGGCTGACAGTATATCTCTAAATACTGCAGAATTCATCCAGCTGCTTCTGTCACATCAATAAACACCAATGCCACTGGAAGCCATGCATGTTCATGCCATCACACTGCCTCCACCATGTTTTACAGATGACATTGTGTGCTTTGGATCATGAGCTGTTCCAAGCCTGCTCAAAACTTTTTTTCTTCCCGTCATTCTGGCATAGATTAATCTTAGTTTCATCCTTCCAAAGAATGCTTTTCCAGAACTGATCTGGCTTTTTTAGATTTTTTTTGTCATCTGGCTTGTCTATTCTTCAGGCTTATGAATGGTTTGCACCTTATGGTGAACCCTCTGTATTTGCTCTCGTGAAGTCGTCTCTTGATTTTAGACTTTGATAATGATATGCCCTCCTCCTGGAGAGTGTCCTTCACTTGTCTGGATGTTGTGAATGGGTTTTTCTTTACCATAGAGAGGATCCTGCGATCATTTACCACTGTTGTCTTCCGTTGTTCTTTCCTCAGAATGTACCAAACTGTTGATTTGGCCACTCCTAATGTTGCTGCTATCTCTCTGATGGGTTTTTTTTGTACTTGAAGCCTTACAATGGCCTGTTTCACTTGCATGGAACACTCCTTTGAACGCATGATGTAGATTCACAGCAATAGATTCCAAATGCAAATACCACATGCAGAATCAACTCCAGACCTTTTACCTGCTTAATTGATGAAGAAATAACGAAGGAGTAGCCCACCCCTGGCCATGAAACCGTTTTTGATTTAATTACTTTTGGTCCCTTGGCTACTCTTAAGAGCTGTAATTCCTAAATCCTTCCTCTAATTTGGATGTACATACCCTCAAATTAAACTTGAGAGTGTGCATTTTCAGACCATATCCATTATAGAACTAGAGCTTGAATATGTTTTGGTCGGTACCTGGAAAAAAAACTAAAATTGTGCCTGTGTCCAAATAAATATATATATATATATATATATATATATATATATATATATATATATATATATATATATTGATGTGTGTGTATACACTGTATGGATGTATAGTATGTTGAAGCCAGTAGAGATGTGTGAATGTGTCCAACACGTAAAAGTAAATCTGTGACAAACCTGAGCAGATCCAGAGATACAGATAGCTAATTAATGATATTCAGATCTCAACTGTTCCCCATCATTCACATCTGTTTGCTGCCTTGTTAGATTTTATTTTTTTTTATTATTATTGTGGTCAGTGGCCTAATTTTACCGGTAGGGAAGTGAGAAGGTATGAGACCAAGCTTTGCTTTTGCCAAGTTGAGATTTGCTTATAACATCAGTTTCTTATATCTCTGGTTCTATTGTTGTTTTGACACGTGCTTTTCACTGATAGTAACTTTAGCTTATGCATCTTTGTTGTAACTTACACTTGGTTTAAATTGGCCAGGATTGTGCCAAGTATACAGTAAGAATTTTTTTCCATCAAGTCTTTTCTGTTTAATACAATGCTAATGTTGATTTAATATCCTGTATCCTTATCTGGTGAAATCGTACATACACTGCTTGTCTGCTTTCACTTTTGGCTCCATCAATTTCCAGAAACATAGTTTGTGTCGACAATCAAATGGTTGAAATTTCTCTTTTGATTTCCACTATCACTCCACGGAGGAGATATTATGAGCAGGTCTTCTCAAGGTTGTTTGCGTGGAAACAAATTAAACATATTTTTCTACTTAAAAAAAAAAAAAAGTATTAAGTATTCCTTTATCTTCCGCAATCCAGACATGAGGAGGCCCACACCACATTGAAACAGCATCCTGTCTGCAAATGGATCTTTCACACAGGAATGACATTGCTGTGTTCACGTATAGCCAACTTACAAACAGCTACTAAAACCATATGATGTTCTGGATGGCTTTTATTGTGTCAAAGAATGCATTGATGATTGGTGTGGGATTGTATGCAGGGCTGTCTAAATTATTTATTTTCTGTGATTATGTAAAAAATAAATCTTTATAATGCTAAAACATTTTGTGAGTTCTTCTTGACATGTTCTATATAAGCCTGCACAAAAGTTGTCTAGAGCTAAAGCTGACATTAACATACTGTATGTGCCTAATTATTTACTATTGTGTTCAGCCGCTTTAGTTTTTTTGTTTTTTTTTTTTAAATCAGAAAGGTGTTTATTAAAAAATAAACAAGAAAGGCATGCAGAACAAAACAAATTTCCAGGAACTGCCGTATGCATGTACGTTGGTATCAGTACACCATGTATAGAAAACAGAGCATCAAACCTGCACATCAAAATATCAAAGGAAATAACACATAGCATATGAGAACAATAGTCATAGCGGTGCACCGAAATATCCATTTCTAGGGGTGGGGAGGCTCAAATTTATTTTTTAATTTTTTTTTTACTTTTAATGTGTGTATTTTTTTAACTTATGATTTTATTGCTATCACATAGTGGACCAATAGTCCCCTATGTCAGGGCTTGAAATT